TTGCTACTTCATGGAGTATAAACTCCTTACCCAACAATAAACTTGAAAGTAAAAAATAGTAAAAGGATATCCTGAAACATAAAAGAAAGCTACCACACAGACATGCTTTCACTCTTCAGGAATGGCTGGCTCATCCCCTAGGACTCATCAGAAACAAAACTGAAAGGAAAAATCAAAAGTACACATAGTACTAGTTAAAAGCAGAAAGGGAAAACATTGTTTTTAATTACAAGACATAGACTCAAGAACTAAGCAAGCCTGGTAATATAGATCCCATTTGGTTTCACAGAGTGGGTAAGTGTGAGGGCTATGCCCCTATATTTGAAGCTTTACCTCCCTCTATCATTTTCTGTATAACATGGGGCAACTTACTGAAGATCTCTATATGTACTTAAAATAATGTCCTGTAAGTAAAAGCTCACCACTGAATGCTACTATTAGGAATAAAATAGCATTATTATTTCAGGAACAAAATAACATGATATGCTTCATTTATATCTGAGGATACAATGATTTTTGCATGTTCATAATCATGACCCTAAACAACAAAATAAATGGTCAAATTCAGAAGCCACCAACTTTCTGTTAAATAAAATGGAGGCATATAATACATTTTAGAAAAGATCTAAAAAATAGCCTAAATTTTAAACATATACATATTTAAAACATATTTGTGTTTTTAAAAAGACCTTTAAGCCTATTCACTTATGTGAAATACTTTAAACCCCAAAGTTAAACAAAATAATCATGTTTACAGAAGAACTATGGGGGGGCAGGGTTTCACTAGGTGGCACTGGCTGACCTGGAACTAAGTAGACCAGGCTGGCCTGGAACTCACAGAGATCTACCTGCCTCTGTCTTCCAGTGCTGGGATTAAATGTGGTACACCATGGCTGGCTTCCTTATGCTTTAAACACAGGGTCCCACTGCAGTCTCAGAAGAATTCTGGGACAATCTTTCCTAGGAATCAGAGCTTCATACCTTTAGAGAACTGATGGGATAATTTCATGGGAGGCCACCCCATTTTTATCTACAGAACTGGACTCAGCTGATCCACAACCCCATTCTTCCCCACAAAGGTCCTGTTGGCTGGCTTTCAGGCTAGACTTGCAGTCACCCAGTGGTACAATTGTACCTCAAAGACTGTCTATGGAAAAGCCGCTCCTCCCAAGCAGGTAAGGACTCACAGGTTGTCAGAACAACCCCTCAAGCTCCTTTTTCTACTCCACTTGCCTGGAAAAGACACTGTAGTCTCAATTCTCTCTCCTCATCTCTTCTTCCCCACATTTGTTTTCTGTGAGTTTTTTCTTTTCTGTGCAAAGGCTTACTTGTTCAGAAAGAAAAGTATCAGGCAAAAGCAAGGTTCAGTTTAGTTCACCCATCAGGACCTGGTATACACAAAGCTACATTCTAAGTGCTGATTGTTCAGCACTACACCTCAGGTAACTTGACATAGGCAAATGGCTTTTAGGAGCTTTCAGCTTTCTGGTCATTAGAAAAGTATATCCATCACTGGAAACCAATACATCTGTACAATCATTTAGATCACCAGTGAGACGCTGATGAGTTTAATTAATCTTAATGAACTAATCCAATTTATTATCTGGATATACAAAGCTAAGGGCTCCTAGAATGTGAGAGCATACCAAAATATGTGTGTAAAATCCCAAATAAGCAGCTAAGTTTGTATAATAGTACAATTAGGTTATGATCCATTAGTCTCCAGTCAAGATGGTCAATTTAGAAAATGACAATAGGGGCTGGAGAGATAGCTCAGCAGTTAAGAGCACTGACTGCTCTTGCAGAGGACCTGGGTTCGATTCCCAGCACCCACATGGTGGCTAATGACCACTCGTAACTCCAGTTCCTGGGTAATCCGACGCCTTCTGACCTCCACGGACATTGCATGACATGGGTGCACTTACACACATGCAGGCAGTACACTCATACATATAAAGTTAAAAAAAATAAATAAAATATTAAAAAAAAAAGAAAATGACAACAAAAAGGCTCCAAACAAAGCCAGGTGTGGTGGTACACATCTTTAATTCCAGCACTCAGGAGACAAAGGCAGGCAGATCTCTGTGAGGTAGAGGCCAGCCTGGTCTCCATAGTGAGTTCCAGGCCAGGGAGATCCTGTCTTGAAAAGAAAAAAAAAAAAGGCCCCAATCAAATGCTGACATCAAACTGAAACCTCCCAACACTGAAGATCTTCCCAAAACCAACCATCGTGTTACACAATGGCTTTTTAAAAATTTTTCTAAGCAGCTAGTGCCAAACACTGATAAACCAGGTGATAACAATAGAGTATCATTACAATGAAAAAAATGTTTTCACTAAGTCACTTTTACTACAGGTAGCAGATGATCTCAATATACCTTCATTGGCATCTTTGTCCTGGGATTTAGTAGCGTCAATTCCTGATGATGATGGAACTTCAGAATCATCTGGATTTTCTTCAAGGGATGATTTTCCTTTTTCCTGAAGGCTCTGTGATTGAAAATTAGTTAAGCTGTTTCAAAAACTAATGCAGATTTAGCTCTCTCAGTAGAGGAAAGGGCATTTGCCTTATTTCTAAGAACCTCCACACATACTTAGTATTTGGAATCTAAATTTGAATGTGGTCAAAGTATTCCAAAGTACCTAGGTCTTACCTTTGGTTTAAATGTCATTTGTAAATATGTATGCATATATGTGTGTGTATAATTTAAAATACTGTCATTAACAAAAATATGGGATACTTTACTAGACCATGAATGGAGAAACCACTAGCTAACATAAAATGGATCCATTGCTTTTATTTTCCCTTGCGCTTCACATACATGAGAAAATAAAGTTCGGCTATTTCTTTAAAATATGAAAAACAAACCAAGAGGCAAGCCAATCTCTGTGAGATCTAGGACATCTTGGTCTACACTGCTAGTTCCAGGCCAGCTGGGGAAAGCCTGTCTCAAAACAACAACCACAACAACAACAAAAAAAAACCAACAAAATACAAAAAAAAAAAAAAATTGGCGCTCCGGGGACCGAGAGACAAGACAGACACCCCACAGAGGACAAAAACAAAAAAAACCCGGGCCTTAAAGAACAGTGGTGTGCAGCCCACCCAGAGTTACAACCTAGCTGCAAAGCAAGGTTTAGAACTACTCAGACTACCCTGACTCCACTCCAGTTCCACTTAGCGAGACAGTGGGCGGCTACCATCGACTTTAAATTTACTGGGCGGTGGGGGGACGCTGATTAGCGCCCAGGCAAAGCTTCCGGGTGGGGGAAGATGTCATGAGATGGGGTGAAAAAAGCAGAGTTCAGTGAGAAGAGGGAGAAATGTCGAATGCCCCAGCCCACCCCGTGCGGCCAAAGGGTATTGGGGCTCCGCGAGCTAATTAAATGTTTCGGGGAAACAAAGCGCGAGGAGCACCCCGCCGTAGCGTCTCACTTTCTTCTCCCGGGTTTTTCTCTCTTCTCTCCGTCTTTCAAACTCTTCAAAGGAGATTTTCCCTTCCAGATAGTCGATAAGCTCCGGACTGAATCCCGACATGTTTACGGGCCGAAGCGAGGACAGACAACCGGAAACGCTGCCACTCGGGTCTCCACCAGTCGCCACCGACAGATTGGACGCCGCGTCCTGTCAAGAAACCGCTCCGACCGGCGCCGCAGCCGCAGCACTCCAGTTCCGCCTGCCTGCAGGGCCTCTTCCCACAAGGGAGGGAACCCGCCAAAGGGATCTTGCAGATGCCCAGCCTGCCTCCCTCAGGACAGCGGCTGGGGGTGGACCACAGTGGTGGAGCCTTTACCTAAGTTTCTATCTCCAAGTTTCCTTTTCCTGATGGTCAAAATTTTAAAATAGAAATCAGTTTCCTTTAAAAAAAAATTTTTTTTTTTTAAATTGGGGCTGGAGAGATGGAGCACTGGCTGCCCCGCCAGAAGACCAGGTTTGTTTTCCAGCACCCACATAACTGTCCTTAATTCACCTGGGCCTGACGCCCTCTTGTGGCCTCCACTGGCCTCAGGCTCGCACGTGGTGCATTCACATGCAGGCAAAACACTCGTACACAGAAAATATTTAAAAATATATGTTGTATTCTTTTAAGAATTACATGCAACCTGTTTTAATCATATTCACTCCCAACTTCTCCCCCCAGTTCATCCCAGATCCACTCTCACCTCCCCCCACCCTTATGCCTTTAAAATAAATAATAGCCTGGCGACTCCATATATGCCTGGGAGTGAGAAGTCTCACACACACCCTTAAAGAAAACTTACTCTTCCCTCCCCCATAGGTTCCCATTTAGGAATGAAAACACATAAACTCTTTCCCACACAGATTCTTTTTTCTATTTACGTAGCCCTGACTGGCCTGAAACTCAGGGGTTGAGCTTGAACTCACAGAGATCAGCTGCTCTCTGTCTCTGATTGCTGGGGTTAAAAGTGTGCACCACCACACCTTGGCTGCTAGGTTCCTGCCTAGGATCGGGTTCTTTTTAAAAAGTTATTTATTTTTAAGTGTCTGAGTATATTGCCTACATGTAAGTGCACCTGTGTGTGCATGCCCACAGAGGCCAGAAGAGGGCGTTGTATTCCCTGCAACTGGAGTTAGGATCGTTAGCCACCATTTGGGTGCTGGAGACCAACTCTTAAAGACTGAAACATCTCTCCAGCCCCAGAATCCGGTGTTTTAGTTTGGATTGGTGGAGGTGGGGGGGGTGGCTTTTTTGTTTTTGTTTTTGTTTTGTTTTTTTTTTTGGAGACAGGTCGCCCTGTACTCCCAACTGGCCTGGAACTCATTATGTATGCCAGTGCCATACTCAGAGTGTGAACTCATAAGAAGTTGATTTTGGAGCAGAGTGTGATGACACAACACCTTTAATCCCAGCACTCTGGAGACAGAGGCGGTCAGATCTCTGTTGCTTATTCCATCTAATATCTTCTACATATTGCATACATCTCTCGAAATAATTCTTAGAAAACTAAAAGAGAACCCCAGTGGATGAAGTTGCACTGAGGGACATCTCAGGACGCTAACTTTACATAATATGCCTTAATAACAAATGACAGAATGTATGAACATCCAGTGGGGGACTATGGGAAGGTGCCAAAGGGGGAGGGGGAAGGTGGTATAAATATGATTTTATGTATGAAATTCACAAAAATTCAATTAAAAAATTTTAATGTGTACACATAAAATAAAAATACTAAAAAATTTAAAAAAAGAAACCTGGAAGAGAAGAAAAGAGGTTTTAAAGGAGAGGTGTGGACGGGGTAATAGAATACATGTGATATGAAAGTGGAAGAGCCCTGGAAGTGGAAAGGTTTAAGTGGAGAGGGGGCAGGGAGCTTAGGGAGAGACAGGTGTGAAGGTGAGAATCAGCCAAAACTAAGTGTGTTCACAAACATCAAGGAAATCTACTACTTTGTAAGATAACTTTTTATGTTTTGATCTTTTGAGACAGGGTCTACCTGTAGCCCCAGCTGTCCTGGAACTCACTATGTAGACCAGGCTGGCCTTGAACTCACAGAGATCTGCCTGCCTCTGCCTCCTGAGTGCTGGGATCAAAGGCGTGCACCACCACTCCCGGCATACTTTTTAAAGGCAGAAATGCTTTGAGTTTTTCTTAGTTTAGCATGATGTTGGCTGTGGGCTTGTTGTGTGTTGCCTTCATTATGTTGCAATATGTTCCTCATATCCCTATATTTTCCATGACTTTTATGATGAAGGGATGTTGACTTTTGTAGAAGACTTTTTCTTCATCTGAGATAATCATGACTGTCCTTGAGTCTATGTATGTATGTGGTGGATTACATTTATGGATTTATGTATATTGAACTATCCCTGAATCTCTGGGATAAAGTGAACTTGAACTTGGTGGATAATCTTTTTGATGTGCTCATGAGTTCATTTTGCAAATTTTACATTGAGAATTTTTGTATCTATGTTCAACAGCCAGATTGGCCTATAGTTTTCTTTAGGTCTTTGTCTGGTTTTAGTATCAAGGTAAAATTGACTTTGTAAAAAGAATTTAGAAGTGTTTTTCATTTTCTACTTTATGAAATAATTTGGTGAGACCTAGAAGGTCCAGTGCAATTCTGCACTGCATCTATCTGGTTCTGGACTTTTTTTTATTTGTAATTTTAATTACTGCTTCTATCTCATTGGTTGTTATTCTATTTAAATTATTTACTTCATCTTGATTTAGCTTTGGCAGGTCACATTTATCTAGACAGTCATCAATTTCTTTTAGATTTTTCACTTTAGAGGAATATAATTTTTAAAATATAGCCTTGTGGTTCTCTAAATTTCCTCAGTGTCTGTTGAAATGTTTCCCTTTTTATTTCAGATTTTATTAACTTAGATTCTTTCTTTTGGTTAATTTGTCTTTTTAAAGGTTTGTTAATCTTATTAACCTTTTCAAATAACCAACATCTTAAATTCTTTTCACTGATTTTTTTATTGTTTCTGTTGTTGTTTCTATTTTATTCATTTTAGCCATGATTTTTGCCCTCTCTTCCTTTACTGTTTTAGCGTATTGTTTGCTCTTGTTTTTCCAAGGCCTTCAGGAGCATCATTAAGTTATTGATATGAGATCGCTAATGTTTTATGACTAATTTTAAAGAATGCCTTCATTGTGTTCCATAAATTTTGGTACGTTGTGTTTTCATTTTCATTCATTTCTAGAAACTTTTTATTACCTTCTTCATGTTTCTCTCGACCCAATTTTCATTCAGTGGTGTTATTTAGTTTCTGTGAGTTTGTACACTTTCTTTTGTTTCTATTACTGTTGATATACAGCTTTATTCTTTTGTGGCCAGATAGAATGTAGGAGGTTATTTCACTTTTCCTGTATTTGTTGAGACTTTCTTTATGTCCTCATATACAGGCAGTTTTGGAGAAAGTTCCATAGGTTGCTGAGAAAAAATATATTCTTTAGTGTTTGAGTGGAATGTTCTGTAGATGTCTGTTAGAACCATTTGATTTATGATGTCATTTAACTCCATATTTCTCGGTTTAATTTTTGTTCGGATGACCTATCCATTGGTGAGAGTGAAGCAAAGTCACTCACTATCACTGTGGTGAGGATCAATCTGTGGTTGTAGATCTAATAGTATTTTATCTTACCAAAGTCAGAATGGTTAAGATCAAAACAGGCAAACAAAAAAATGACAACAAATGAGGTGTGGATGTGGAGAAAGGGGAACACTTATTCACTGTTGGAGGGAGTGAAAACTGGCACAACCACTATGGAAATCAGTGTGGAGTCACTCAAAAAGTCAGAAATGTATCTACCATATGATCCAGCTATACCACTCTTGGGCATATACCCAAAGGACTCTATATTCTACTGCAGAGATACCTGCTGATCCATGTTCATTGCTGTTCTATTCACAATAGCCAGGAAGTAGAAACAACCCAGATATTCATCAAGTGATGAATGGATAATGAAATGTGGTACATTTATACAATGGAATATTATTCAGCTATTAAGAAAAACAAAATTATGGAAGTCTTGGGTAAAGAGATAAAACTGGAAACAAACAGTCTGACTGAGGTAACCCAGACCTAGAAAGATAAATGTCACATGTTTTTTCTGTGGATACTAGCTTTGAATCTTTATTGATATGTGTGCTTCATTTGGAAAACTCATAGAGATCAGGAAACTAGTAAGGGATCTTTGGGGGTGGGGCTTCCAAGGGAGAGGGGATAGAGAACAGTAATATAAAGGGAAAAGAGGAATAATTAAACACAAGGAATTAAATGGGGTAAAGAATGGGAGGGCAGGGTAGAGGAGGGAGTATGGGAAGGGATAACTAATACTAAAGGCCTTTTGAAAAAGTCAAATGAAAATGTACTGTAAAATCTTCCTAAAATATATACTATGCATATATAAAGAGTTTAAATGGGGCTATAGAGATGCCTCAGCAGTTAAGCGCACTGGCTGCTCTTGCAGGGGACCCAGGTTCAGTTCCCAGAACCTACATGGCAACTAACACATTGATAACTCCAATTCCAAGGGATCCGACTCCCTCTCTGGCCTCCATGGGAATTGCACAACACAGGTGCACATATATATACAGACAAACAATCATACACATAAAAATAAATCAAAAAATTTAATAGTTTGAATGGAGTTACTCTATAAGACTGGGACAATGTCCCTATCAGACACCATAGACACCATAAAAATCCCAGTGTCAGGAATGGTTTATCTTTTTGGAGTTGTTGGTCAGAGGGGTGCCATAGTCCCCCCAAACATTACTAGCTATTGTCATTGCTCTTGGTTACTCTCCAGCAGTTGAAGGTAAGACCTACTACTGAAGACACTACATACATGAATTGTAGAACATGGAAAAATCAAGCTGGTACTGACCTTGAAGCTTCATCCCTGCTGGTTCTCTTTCTTAGTGCTAGAAGGTGCTATACAGACTACCAGAAGAGAAAAGTATCATCAATCTTATCCACCTGTGAACCCTGTGAGTAACAATAATGACTGTCTGGCAGGATATACCCACTGGTACAATAGTGGTATGAATGGACTTCACTAGTTCACTTTCTGATTGGATTTAAGGCCCACTTCACAAGATGGAACCCACGTCTGACCACATTATCAAGGCAAAGAACCTGTAGCCAG